TAATGCCCATACTTCCGGCCAGTGTTACGAAAATACCGGAAGTTACAGACCGGAATTCTGGTAAGGAAACAAAGCACACCCAAGAATCTGAATCTCTTCCACTCATCAGGGGAAAAAAAGCTAGTTTAGTAAGGCCAGCAGGGGGCTGGAGCCAAATGTGAGGGCGAACTACTACTTAACTGGAGTTATAGTATGTTAGATCAGGTTTAAGAAGGTTTGAATTCCAATCATTTGACATGAATACAAATAATTATGAGGCAATTAGTATCAGATAAGAGACAGGTAGCAACCTGATATTACGTTATTGAAATAGAAATTCGAATCCGTTGGTGGTAAATTACCCAAATTATGTTAGGAATGTTAGATATTTTAAGATTATAGACAAGTTATCAATCTAATTTATCTACCTATTATTAAGATTATTTTAATTGCACTTAATTGTGCTTTCATTGATTTTTCTCATTTCTTCCTTTTAGAGATAAGTTATCTCTCATTATATTTTAGGCTCTTGGCTTAAATTGCCTTCATTAGAAATTTTGGAGAAATATAGCCTTCTTTTACTTCTTTATGAATAAAATAGTCCCAGAGCAAGAATCAAGGATAGTCATAAAACAGTCCAAGGAGAAAATCCTAATACCTACCAGAGTAATGTGTTCAATGAGGGGTTTTAAATTCTCCCAGACATAACACAGGACTCTTGGCAGCAGATTTTCTGTCTGTAATAGAGTAAGGTGTACCCTATTTACTTTATAAGAAAGGGGCTGGGGATGTAGTTCAGGCCTGCGGATGTAGCTCAGTGGTAGAGCACTAGCCTAGCACGTGTGAGGACATCCCCAGTACTGGAAAAAAAAAGCACATAAATGAGAAAGGCTGTCCTCTCTGCTCTGTAGTCATGGGTGTGTCGTGACCATAAGAAAATGGTGTGTCAGATCCACTGCATAATCATAAATTAATTAGGCAAATAGTTGTGATGGTATGTACCAACATATTTTGAAATTTTCTTTAAAAAGAAAACCTGTAAAACGTAGAAATGGGATAAAAAAAAGTTGACTACCAACAAGCACATACTTCCAGGCAGGTACGACACATACATGTGAGATTGTTCATGAGAAAAGAATGTCATGAATATTATTGAGAGCATCAAGGCGCAAGATCCACAACTACGAAAACACAATTGAACTGCCCCCAGTTCCCTTGGCCAGTCTGCTTGGCTGGAGTCTAGTAGTCTCTGGTCACTGCTCTTCTTAGGCACCCCTAGGCTCCCTTTCTGACAGTGATATTAATGATTAGAGAACTGCGTGCCTCTCAAAGTCAAGCACCTGCCTGAAAAGAGGCAGAAAATATGGGAAGGTTATATGTAGTCATGCTCAGTTTTCTTATCCCAGTTTTACATTATCTTTGGTTGTGGAAAGCTTTTTTTGTACCAGTTAATATTTGGTAGAGGTACAAGTGACAGAAACCCCAAGCCCGTTGACTTAAAGGGGATAGGTCATTTATTTCTCCTTCCTACAAATACTTTAAATTAGTCAGCCATGGGCTAGAGGCGGGGGGCTGGCCACCTGTGTTCCATGAATATCTTTAGTAACTGATTCCTCAAGCTCGTGCTATTAGCCTGAAGATGACCGCAGACCTAGCTTGGTAGCTTTCATGTGCCAGATAGCAGACTATAACTAGGAACTGGACAGAAGGACAAAGACTTACGCCTGCCATCTTGTCAGGAAGATCCCAGCAGCTGCCTTGTAATGCTCCCGCTTGTATCTCACTGACCAGAATGTGGCTGTGTCAAATTGCAGGGGAGCTTGGGAGATGTAATCTTGCTGAGTGAACCTGGTTGAACTGAATAATCTATTACATGGAACAAGGGGAGAGTGAACACTGGGAGGAAATTTGTGAGTGCATCTTCCTTCTTCACTCTAATGGTGCTGTGATTTCAGTAGGTCACCGTTTACAGCCAGCTGTGGAAGTTCGCGAGGCAGAGGGTGGATGCAAAGTCACGCAGGAGTAGTTAAGAATGTGGAACCTGGAGTCCCTCTGCTTGAGTGTGAACCCACGTTTTCTTAGATAACAAGGGGAAATGGTGCTACTGTCTCCCTTCTAGAGTTGTTGTAATGCTTAAACAAAATATATTGACCACAGTATTTTAACACTTCAGAAATATTTGATTATGGTTATGAATTCTCATTGTTAAAAGTATAAGGTAAAAAGTTTTGAGCCCCCAGGTGCATATAACATGTCTGGAGGAGACATTCACTTCCTTTCCCAAATATGATTTGGAGTGGTTTTCATTTCTAATTGCGTGTTTTTTGCTTTTATGAATAAGCTGAGATATTCATGCCTAGCTGGGGATAAAGCTTGACCTTAACAAATTACGTGGATGATTTCCTGGAATTTTCCATGGGACCTGCATATGTCACTGACGTCTCTCTATAAGCGCTTACTTATTAACACTAGCTGTGATGTAAATGACACTTTATGTAAGAACTGATGCGATCCTCCTTCCCACTGTTGTCACACAGTGGGATCTGGGCACCACATCAAGAGGAGAAGGCCATCCTTGACCACCTGTGGGTGGGTGGAGTTCAAGTTGGCCCTAGGGAGTGGGTTTGATATGTTTGTCTATAAAGGGCACACAGCTCTGAACTGCAGAACAAATGTCAATACAAATGTGAAAATTTAGCCCATTCACTCAGAAATGGTAATAGAAGAGTGGTGGGTAAAAGCACAACTTATTCCAACTTGGATGTGACAATTGTCTTATGATCACAGACAAGGAAAGTAGTGGTATTGAGATAACTTTTGCTGATTCCTAAATGCTCTTTGCTTCTTTTTCTTTCTTTCTTTCTCTAAGCCCCCTCTTTGTTCTGTGGCTTTTCTTTTGTAACTCCTCCAGACTACAGCTTTGTTCCCCCTTCTTCCACTCCTTTCTGGTCAGGTACTGCTTTACTGCTTTTATATGTCTCCCCAACATGCTTCTGTTTGCAAATGAAATATGTTGACCTCTCTGTGTGGCTTCCCATGTAGCTCCGTCTCCTCCCAGACAGTCCCTAGAGTACCATTACCACCATGCGCTCTCTCTTCTCTGTCGTAAAGTCGTCGTTTGTCGTGACATTTCACCTCTTCGGTTTGTGTGTATGTGCTCATGCCATATATTTCAATAACACATTTTATAATGTCTCTGCGGGTGGAGGCTTAGGGTGGGATGGGACTGAAAGGGTAAAGACAGATGAAGGACTCTGCAAAATTAACTTTCTGAGGACTACAAATTTTAGTTGCGAAAAGACAGTATGTTTATCTCCATGAAGAAAATGCAAAGAACCAAAATCCAAACTTTGTCTCCAAGTAGAAGAGTAAAATTCAGTGCAGATTGCTTGAAAGAATAACGGGTGCCCATTAGCTCTATAGCTCTCCCGTTGGTGCCCAGGCATTTTGGTCTTCGTGTCTGTCATTAACTAGAGAGTTTAATGGCTATTTCTGTGGCACTGAGGGAGCTACATAATGCCAAGGTAAAGTATGTTTTCTTACAGGTTTTAAAAAATTAACCTGTAAGTCCCAGTGGAATCATAGGATTTTGAAATAGACCTAAAACATCAGCTAGTACAAACCTCTCATTTTCTAGATGAGAAAAATGTGGCCTGGAGGGGTTAAAAGGCCCGTGCAAGGTCACATAGTGAAGCTAATGATTGGATTTTTCCATCACAGGGGTTTTTATGTGCACTGACTCTAAGAGCAGCGTGCCGGAAACAGGACAGTTTTCAGTAAGAAAACCGTTAAAGTGGTTTGTATCCCGAACAGTAAAATAAAATGACCTATTTTTACTCCCTTTTACAGTTCTGAAATCCATGGCATTTCTGTTGGTTTATCTTACAATCGACACCTGGAGACTAAATAAATTTCTGTCATTTCAGAGCCATGAATTATAGGCCAAAGATCCCTGTCACCAAGCGGGCAGACTTTTCTGGGGTAACATGGGTCATAAGTGCCGCTACCTGGGCACTAGGAACTGTAAAAACACAAGTGCATGGTGCTTCCCATTTGTCTCTTTTTTTTCCCTTAAGTCCCTCTGCCATTGAAGACCTATAAAGTCCCGCCAATCTCAGATGAGTGATTCTCAGATTCACTGAACATATAACTGGAAACCCTTTATAGCCCCAGAGAGCAACAGGTGGGGAAGTTAATATAAAGTGTGTTATGAAACACTGGAGGCTCACCAGTGTTACAACGTGGAAGGAGTTCTCATTTCAGTCAGGGCGAGCTCCTCTCCAACCATCAAAAATACCGTAACAAGCAAACAGCAAAAACCTCACATAGGAAATGGACACCCTGACATCTTGTTTTTGATTAAATATCTCAATAAATTTTTCTCTGAGGCAGTATTTACTTGAAAAGAAGGCAGTATTTGTGTTCTTTCTGTGAAACTGCTTCACACTTCTTCAGTAATTGCCTGTATATACATATACACATAATTTTAGAGTAAAGGTTGGTTGGAGAAAATACCACTTAATTAGATGTGACGACATCAATTTGGCAGACCTTTGCTAGAGCGCAGAATTTAGTTGTTTTGAGTGTAGCAGTTACCAGATAAAAACATACAGCCTCACCTCAGTCAGAGCTTCTAACCAGAAACAGATTACTGTGCCATTAATGGGAAATGTATGCTAACCTATCCTAGATTGTGTCTTTCAGAGAGGAATTCAGATATAAACTAGTTGTGTTTGGGTTTTGTTTTCATTTTTTTTTACAAAAACGAGTCCCTATTTTGAAGGTTTGGTGAAGATGGTGAAAGTAGAGCAGTGGTTCTTTAAACTTTATAAAATGAACTTGCCTGCACATGACTGAATTGAAACAGCGGTCGCGCTGCTTTCAAGCTCCTCTGCCATCATCACCGGTCTGTAATGAAATCATGACTATGCATCTGAAAGCGTCAGTAATGTTCCTCTATTAGCTTCACTTGGCTGTTAACCAAGCCCGTATCAACTCGGCCTCCCCTCATTTCTTTACAGTGTTAAGTCCGAAAGTGCTGGGCATTGCCATCGCTCGGTACGACTTCTGTGCGAGAGACATGCGGGAACTGTCCTTGCTGAAAGGAGATGTGGTGAAGATTTACACCAAGATGAGCGCGAATGGCTGGTGGAGAGGGGAAGTGAACGGCAGGGTGAGTTGTCCCTCCCAGCTCGCGTGTGCCCTGGACCCACGGGGGCTGGCCGGTCACTGGCAGCTGTTGTGTCGCTGTCTTCACACCCTAGGACCCTGGCCTCCGGAGACTGCTCTTCCGCCTTGCTGGGAATAGGCACTCACTAAAAATGTGTTCAGTGAGTATTATAGGGGCATAAATAAAGTTCAGCCCAGCAAGTTTCATAACCTCCTTGTGGAGAAGAGCCGAGAAGCATCTCAATTCTTTTTAGAACCTGAGCTCTGGAGCACACACTTTATGGGCCGTGCCAGATAGCTCTAACAGCTGCGGATCTCAATTGGAAAGAATGGGACATAGCGCCTCTGTCTTTCCATCATCTGTTCTGTGGCAGAAATAGGAATCATGTAGTTGAGACCCTACTGCACTTAATTTGCATATTTATTTGTGTGGGTCCTAGCGGATTAGAACACTGTTGAAGCTTATTTTATTCCTCCGTTTCTATCATTCACTGTATTAGGCTTTTAAGAGCAGTTAAACCTCTCTTCTTCACCTACAGCGGGCATAAAACCTCAGCTTAATTGGGGTGTTATGAAAACGGAATGCTCTCTTTGTAGAATCCTTTGAAGTGCCAGATGCAAAATCGTGTTGCTATGTCAGTTGCTTTTCTTTTTCAGGTGGGCTGGTTTCCATCCACATATGTGGAAGAGGATGAATAAATTCCAATCCAGCGTTGCACCCTGTACCAGAAATCTCAGAGAACGAATCAACGGAGCCTGCAAAGCGTTATGAATTACCTGAAGTGTTTAAAAAGCTGCATTTCTGGCTGTTCCACATCCTCCCTCCTTTCCCCCTCCCAAGTCTTAATGCTGGGATTTCTAAAGATGCTGGTACTGACAGATTAATGGCTTGCCTAGAGCCGTGCAAGAAGCGGCCTGCCCATCTGTCATTGTCAGGGACCAGGGCAAGGCCAAAAGCTTTTCTTCCCAAAAGAGCCCTGCAAACACATTCGTTCAGGTTTCTCTTTACCTCCGTCAGGTCAGATACCCTAAAGGCCAGCCACTAGTAAATGCTTAATGTGCAGTTTCTTTATTTTCATGTGCCATTCACCAGAGTTTTTGATGGTGCGAAGAAACAGAGGTTTAATTCTGCTTTGCCTAGCATGAAAAAAAAAAAAAAAAATTGAGTATTGTCATTTGGGAAAGATCCAGCTTACTGGAAGGATTCAGCATTACTTGTCATAAATTGTCCAACAGGTGACTCATTGCCTAGCAAACAATTTCACCCCCAGATGTCACTCATGATAAAATAGAAAAGACAAATGCTTAGGTTTGCCTCGTAAGTGATAAATTCCAGAAAGGTTTTAATTACTCATTTGATGTTCTGATTATATTTGCACACTCCTTCTTATAAAAAGAGATAAAGCACATGGCAGTTGTCTTCGTATTAAATTTTACAGCCTTCATGATTCCAGAGGGTTATTTTGGAAATGCAGTACTTGATGAAATAATTGTGGTTAGGTATATTATGGGTAGTTTCCCATAACCTGAGTAGGTGGCATTGTTTACAAAGCAGATCAAGGGCTACATTCTGTAGTAAATAATTTTATAGCAGCAACATCTATTAACATTAGCCTTTTCCTTCCCCCTCGATAGATCTGGAACCTATTTGTTGAATCTTATATTTTCATAGAGTATCTACAAGAGCACAAGCAAGTTTGTGGAGGATTTTGGAAGGAAAGCACACCTGGGTCCTTTATGCATTTCAGGGACAAAGAGAGGGTCACTGGGCTTCTGTGGACTTGTGGCTTTTCAGAATCTCCCCTTTTGCAGCCTTTCTGCGCATGTGTTACCTAGCAGAAGATGGGTTTTGCAGCACATCGATTTTACCACGCCGTCGTAGTTTTCATGTGAGGGTCTAAATACATTCTTCCTGGAATGACCGGAGTCTCCAATCCAGGCAGTCAGGTTAAGACACTAACTGGCCCTTTCCTGATGAAATGCTTCCTCCACAGTGAAAGTGATGTTCTGAAAAGATAACAGAAAGTGTTTTGTGTTTGGGACAAACAAAAATCCGAAGCATTAACTTCATAGAGCCAAACAAGGAGCGTTCAGTTCTGAAATTCTGGGTCATCTCTGCAATGAGAGGGCCAAGCCTGCCCTCTTCCTGGCACACTTGGGTGTCAGAACTTGGTGTTCGGCGGTCACATACTTCCTGCTAGAGACCCTCCTGGGCTAGGACTTCTCATCTAGAGTAGAGTCAAGACCTTTACCTCAGAATTATGTAAACTGTGATTGTCTTTTAGAAAAACTATTATTTGCTAAAATCAGTTAAGTTTTTGTAAATGTGTAAATGACCACGAAAATGTATTTTATAAAATGTTCTGTACAGTAGAGTTGCACCACCAAGGTGAAGTGTTGGAGTGGATTCCTTCCTGTAAAGTCTTACCTGCGACTGTGTCCTGGGAATGTTTGTCTGTTACTGTCAGCCAAGCGTTGTTACAGAGAGTGCAGCTTCACACAAGCTGATCCACTCCCGTGTGCCGTGGCGTGGCGTGTATTGTTTATTTCCATCAATAGCGTCCGCCCTTACAGATGGGATGTGATCTCTGTGTTGGGCTTCACTGGCCTGGAGGTTTCACGGCAGAGGATATTAGATCCCCATTTTCATAACATCACCAGTTACATCTTTGTCTACGTTTAATACTTTGTATTGGAAACTTTAACTGCTGCGGATTTATGTAGATTTCTAATACCAAAGACAGAGGTAAATGTTTTTCATATGCTTTGTCTTGCCTGTGTGCAGCCCTTATGTAATTCGGTGAGTTAGAATGGTATCGTACTTTGTAATATTTTGTAAATATGTCAATACAATAAATAGTTACCACTTGCATTTAGTTGATTTCTTTTTAAAGGTGGAAGAGTCTTTCCATTGAATGAGCCCATCATCCACATATGCCTAACTCCTAATGGAGGCACAAGCCGTAATTTGGTTGGATGTTGCTCAGAAAGGCTAAATTATGGACAGTGAACTTTAAGAGAAACTCAGTACTTGACGGTAGTATCTGTTGACAGCTTATCCCATGCCAAAGTCTGTTCTAAGGGCCTCATGTCTACTTACAATTATGCCGGGGGGTAGAACCTCATTTCGTGGCTATTTTCAGGTGGAGATTCATCAAGAAGTTGCAACTTGGGCGGGGAGTGTAGCTCAGTGGTGCAGTGCCTGCCCGGCAAGCCTGAGGCCCTGAGTTCAGTTCCTGGTTCCAGACAAGAAAAAAAAAATGCAGCTTGCCCGGGGTCACGTGACTGGCAAGTGTCAGAGCCAGGTTCTGACTCGAGTAGTTGAATCAGGAGCCCACCTACCCGCACTCTCTCCTGCCACTCCTAACAGGACAAGAGAGAGATTAGGCGTGCTTGTAAGCTTACACAGCCGTGAAATTCTTTGATAGTAAGTAGTTATTTAATTTTACATAATTAAAAACAGAATTCAGAGCTATTATATTCTCTTATCCTTCACAGTTCCAAACAGACATTGGCTTAAAAAAAATTAGTGTTTGAGATTGAACTTTTTTGGTCCATTTTCATTCAACTTTTGCAGTAATGGATCATGCTTGCGGAGCCAGGAGGACCAGAAGTCAAGCCTCCCTGGGCAGAGCAGGCCCGCAGACGGTGTGTCACAGGGAGAGGGCGGATGCCAGTTCCTTTTAAGGGTCAGCAAAGGCCCGTCCCTCAGTAGTACTTTTCCCTTTACATCACCGCAGCAGCAGCAGCGGATTCCCCGGTTTTCACGACAGTACAGCATGTTACACAGCAGCCCTCTTTTCAACGGAGGCGCCAGTTCTAGTGGTACCTTTATCACTTCTTTTCCCCACACGAACAGTTACATGACTTCTAGACCTTCTGTCAGATAACCACCCCTCTCATCAAGCACAGCCGCCACATGTGCTGGGAAATGCCCAACGTGTCCGTTAACATGAGAACACAGCCGTGGTAGCATTGGAGTATTGTCCTCCATTGAGTGAGTTGTGTATGTTTGGAGCTAGTCCTTAGCTGCCTTGCTTTGTTCTATTTGTTTTCTGGACATAGAGAGGAGAGAAGAAAATGTGACCCCAGAAGTCAGCCTGTCTGGGTACAGATCTCCCCTCTACCAGGCGGGGTCTCGGTCGGGCTGTGTGACCGCCACGCCCACTTCATAGCAGGGAGGAGACCCGTCTGAGGCCATCCTGTGGATACATAGGAAGTGTGGATGCCCTCTACAGGGCCATGTTTCCTCATTGTCATCATTACTGTCATTGTCAGGTGAGGAATTTGGGTAGCTGCCATCTTAATTTTTTTAACTTCTTGAGCTTAATTGAATCTTATTAAGGTAAAAAACTGTAGATTCTAAATTAGCCTCCTTAGGAAGGTGGTAAATTATTTGGTACCAAAGGAAAAGGGAGAGTTTCAGCGTCAGTCAGACCTGGGTTCAAACCTTACTCTGCCATTGGCTTTTCTGAGCATCAGTTTCCTCTTCTGTAATAAAGCAATCATTGTAAGTTCCTAAGAGAGCTCTTATGTAGGGTGAATAAAGTGAAAAGCGCACCTTGTACAGATCCTGGCACATAATAGACCCTTCCAAAAGTTGGTCTCCCTCCCTTTATGAATTGTAAATATGTACCCAGGTACCAAATTAGGTGCTTGCCGTCTTTATTTTGAATACAGTTGAGAGCTTATGCTTTACTTCTTACCTATGGTTTAATTTTCAGCATTCAAAGTATATAGAGTAAAAGGCATGCATTCAGAAAAATTAATATGCAAACCCACAGACAGTCTCAGAAGTTAACAGCTCCACATGATTTTAACTAGGAAAATGGAATTTTCACCCAGCTCAAAATCATTTAGACTTAGTCCACCGGTCACTTCATTTTTCACTAAAACTGGTTTTCTGGGATTGGTTGGACTCTGATTAGAAATATTTATGCACCTGTCTGGTCTGGCAGACTTTGGCAGGCACCTAATTTTAAGTAATGAACGTGTTCCAGAATGGAGGTTGAAAAGGAGTCCTCTCACGATGTGCCATTGATTAGACCAGACTGGGGAAAACAGTGACAGAAAGACAAAAGCTCTTCTTTTGAAGCTCTCTAGCTCTTGTCAGAAACTTCCAGAATTTTTTCTCGGCACGATGTGACCACAAATAATGACCCGGGCACATGGCCAGATGGTGAGGTGCCTCAGTGCCAAAATAGAGTGCGTGGAAAAGTTACTCCGTGCCCTGGGCGCTCAGACGCTTGAGGGAGAAGGGTGAACTTCAGCATGGCTGAGTGGCCAAGCCCTGATCCGGCTTGCTCAAGGTCATGCAGATGGGGAAAACGGGCAAAGTGAGGATTCACACCCGGGTGTCCTGGCTTCAAGTCAAGTGTAATTTACATTTCCCCGTGATAGCTTCTGATCTTCCAGTTACTCCTACTTCATAAAGCTTTTCTTCTGAAAATCATTCTGGCGAGCTGCTAGGGCCCTAGATCAGGTGGAAATGTGGAGAGGTCACCGTCCCTGCCCCTCTTGCTGTCAGCAGGTGTTAGGAGTTTAGCATGTCAGTGGGTTTGATGCTGACTGTGGATTTTCTAGTGATCTCAATGACCTCTTCAAAGAAAGGGAAAGTTGATTTTTGATTCTTGAGGTTTCCCCCCATTATAATTTGATATCTGTCTCCTTTTTTCACTTGTAAATCCTATTTATTTTCTGTTCTTGTATATGCCAGAGAGTGTGCTAGGTGTTTGTTGTATATTATTTCACTTATCTGATGTAACCCTTCTAAGAAACCATCAAAGATTGGCATCTCATATTTTAATCATAAAAACTCTACGCCTCGTTAAGTAACATTTCCACATGGGGAATGGTCTTCAACCTCTTCCATTCTTCATACGATCTGTCCTTTGGTCCAGGCTGTAGCATAAACCAGTGCCTAGAGGTTCAGCTTTAGAACCAACTTATCTGGCTCTGCCACTTACCAGCTGCCTGACCTTGGGAATGTTGCTTACTCTGCTTGTTATTCTGCTTTTCCAAAGTTAGAACGATTTCACCCCACTGTAGAGCATTGTTTTATTTAAAGAATTAGATGAGATAATATATGTAAGATGTTTAGAAACGCCTGGCAGAGAATAGACATTCAATGAAAAAAGAGTTTTGAAATTGTGTTTTGGCCTCCAGTTTAGACACACACACAAATAAATGCTACAACTTTAGAAAGTTAACTTAGATATGAAAAATAAACTTCCCAGCACTATCTCTTTCCGGAGGACAATGGAGGAGGTGCAGGGGCGTGAGCTGACACCCGTCCTGCTTTCACCCACCCAATCCATAAATGGCATCTGAGATGAGTGCACACTTCTCAGATGAAGAAATACAAATGGCAAACAAATACATGAAAAAATGTTCCACATCATGGTTATTCTAGAGATGCAAATTAAAGCAACACTGAGATTCCATCTCACCCCAGAAAGAATGGCTATCATCAAGAAATCAACCAATAACAAATGCTTGAGAGGCTGTAGGGGAAAGGAACCCTTCTCCATTGGTGGTGGGAGTGCAGACTGGGGCAACCACTGTGGAAATCACTATGGAGATTCCTTAAAAAGCTAGGATTAGAGGTCCCATTTGACCCAGCTCATCCCCTTCTGGGTGTTTTATTAGAAGAATTAAAAACATCATACCACAGTGATTTATCTGCATCCAAGTTTATATCAGGACAGTTTGTAATAGCTAAATCCTGGAAACAACCAAGATGCCCATCAACTGAAGAATGGATAAAAAGATATGTTTTTTTTTTATAATGGAGTACTACTCAGCCATAAAGATGGATAAAATGAAGTCATTTATAGGTAAATGGATGTAACTCCAGACCATACTCATAAGTGAAATAAATCAGATTCATATGTGTAAACATCATACTGTCTCACTAGTGTGAGAAAATGAACAAGTAAATAAAATCTGAAATGTACAATAGATATTATGAATTGGGAAGAAACTGTTCAAAAGTAAAACTGTTGGGGTAAAGGAGAAAGGAAGAAAGGGGAAAAGGAAAAAATATATGTATATGAAAGATATTTAAGATAGTTACACATCTAGTTTCTTTTAGTTCATTAAAAAATTTTGTGCTACTATTGTGTAGACAAGATAGCATGCCTATATCTTCTGCTCTAAATAACTAGTAGGAAGACAACAATACGCAATGTATCCACTATTGTAAATGTCCCACTATCCTGTTTTGAATCTCAGTTCTATTGTTGTATTTTTTTTTCTCTTTAAAATAAAAAAGAAGAAAAAACTTCCTTTGGATGTATATTAGCCTTTGCAAGAAACATCTGAGTTCATTTTTTACATTAGCAATGTTTTAAAAATTATACGTGAGTGGGGTGCAAATCAAATCTTCTACCAGAGTATGATGAATCGGTGCCCTGCTGCTGTATAACAGATGACCGCAAAACTTCACAATGGAAGACAACAGACATCTATTACTGCCCAGTTTCTATGAGTAAGGTTTTTTTTTTCCGGTACCAGGAATCGAACTCACAACCTCGCGCTTGCCAGGCAGGCGCTGTGCCGCTGAGCTAAATCCCCAGCCCCAGTTTCTGTGAGTAAGGAATCATGGGACAGATGAGCTGGGCATTTTCAGCCAGGGTTTCCCAGGAGGCTTCAGCCAGGTGTCAGCAAGAGCTATGGTTTTCTCAGTGCTCAGTGAGGGGAGAATCTGGTCCCAAATTCACTCATACAGACCTCTCCACATGGCTGCCTCACGACATGGCAGCTGGTTTCTCCCAAAATAAGCCTCTCAGGGAGAAAGAGCAAGAGCACTCAAGATCCAAGCTCATCTTTTTATAACATCCTCAGAAGTGACATGCTTCCCGCGTCTGCTCT